AATCAGAAGTATTTTGAGATAACTGAAATTTAGTGGACATAATATAAATTTTATTTTGCAGTTCGATATGCGTAAATTTGTTGTCGCTTTCAATAGACGTTTACATAAAAATCAAACTACGAGATTTGTTAGTAAATTTATACCAAATTCCAAACCATCTGCTGCGTAGCAAACATTAACGTAGACTCTCAAAAAATTCTTTCTTTTATTATAACTGTTTCTAATAGAAACATTTTTGCATTGAAATCAGAAAATTCTGAACTATTTTGTCAGAAAAACTCAAGATATTACAAAAAACACATAGGCTTTTTGCAGAAAGTAATCAAGCTTTTCAGTAAATTCAATCTTTATTTTATAAGTATAAAATAGTTCCATCGAATTTTTGGTTTAATTTGTAGATTGTGTAAGTTTTCAATCTTTCATGCTAGATGACATCATGAAAATTAAACTTACCTCGAGAAAAAAATTTCATATTTTCACTTGTAAAAGTTTCATTCAAAATAGAAAATTATCCACAATAAAATTCTGTACAAATATCATTTTCAAATTTCTCAACAAATTCTTTCCCATCATACTTTCAAGGCTTTCACAAAAGACGTTATTTGCATAGGACTCTTCTTGTCTCGGTGAAAGACAGTAAACAGATTGTACGGCTAACATTAAGTTTTTGTATAATATTTTTCCATCTATACCATTTATATGTGATAATTGAGCAACGATTTTATAATTCGAGATCAAAATCAAGTATTTTTGGTATCAAAAAAAATGAATCTTTTGACCTTAGTTAATCACTATGTTCTCTCAGATAAAACTAAAACTGTTAATAGTCGTATTGAAGTTCAAACTACAATTTAACATCAAGAGAATTTTTTTAAATTATTCTCAAGGTTATAAAACATTATTTTTTAGAGATCTTTGAGTTCTATATAGAATAGAATATGGGTTTGAATATTGTTTCTATTGAATCACTACAAATGATCATTCTCTTAACAAGAAAAACATCGGCAAAGATTCGACAGTCCTACACTGAAATGTTTAATCAAAACATTAAGTGAATGTTTTCAAGTATTAATTTATTATTTTGATTAACATAACAAACAACATCAAAGAGCAGCTGAGATAACTTTTTTTAAACATTCTAATGAAACAAAAACAAAATTAATTTTATGTCCTAAATGTTTTTTTATTTGAAAGATTTTTAGTGCAGATTTAATTAATAATAAATTTGTTTTGTTTACATAGCTGTTAAAAGTGTACTTCCTCTTGAACGTGTCTGCGTCACTGATGATAAATTGTCATTTGATTGTATTCCCATATAGGTTAATAATTTTTCAAATAATTCTTTTGAAGTTTCACGAAAATGTTGAAAACAAAGTAAATAAATAATTAAATTTCCATTAGAATTAATTATTTGCATAAAATTAGCAAATATATTCAATATATGTTGAATTCGACATCGAAAATAAAGATTTTCTTTTGATATATAATTATCTGTTGTTGGATATCGAGCTTCATAAATATGATTAATAAGCATTGGAAAACGACATAAAAGAAATAAAAGTACAACTGCTATAAGCATAACTGTTACATGACGATGCCGTCGAGAATAATTAAAATTTGTTCTTAAGTGTGCTATTTGTCGCACTGGTATTGATAATAAACGACGATGTTCATCATGATAATGTATAAGTCGACGAACTGTTAAAATATTTATAAATATTAATGTAAGAAATGGTATAACATATACAATTGGTATAAAAATATAAATTTTAACTATTTCACGAAACATTTTTAGTTGACCAATAGATGTATCTGTAAAGTTTGATTAAATTAAAATAATAATAAAAACAACAAAAAAAAAAGATGTAAGTTTTGTACTTACATGATTTTGTATAATAAGTTCGATTCGCATTATTGATATGTGTAATAACACGAAATTCAAACCAATGTGGTATCATAAAACTAATTGCAACTATTGTTAATAATAATATAATACGTAAAGCGTTTCGTATGGTACAATATTGACTAGCATTTAAACCCATTGAAACATATAGATAACGATCAACAGAAACAGCTACTGTATAATAAGTAATACATAATTGAAGAGTATGCATTAATGGAATGGTGTATGGTGATAACCTATAAATATATATATATAAAGAAAGGACATAATTAAATCGTGCATCAAACTCACTGATGGTACATTTCATTATAGAAACTGTGTACATTTTCTTGATTTTTTGAAATAAAATACGGAATAATAATAGTTAAACGAAGTGCGTAAAATATAAAGAATAAAATAAGCCAAAGAAGATTTACAGCTGCTAATGCAATTAAATATATATTAGTTGATAATACTTTCATACGTTTATTTGCTAATACAATTATTGAAAATGTATTACCTAATAAACCAAATATACATGTAACAACAGATGACCATCCTCCAACAATTAATCGAATAATTAATACAAAATCTTTATCTTCTTTAGTACATACAAGATTATATGTATTGTTCAATGTCATTTTTATAATCGATTGATGCACTCAAAAACACAATGAAATGCAAAATAATAAATAGATAATAATTTCAGGTCATCTCCACCAGTGAAGTATGCCATAAAAAAAAATCATGATATTATCTCTGACATTATATTAAAGCTTATTTTATATCGTTATTGCTATCAGTAATGATCCATTAATAGCCGGTTAGACTTTAATCGTGTCTTTCATATCGATTAGTCATTTCTATATAAACAAAAATAAAAAAAAAAAATTTTATCATTGAATGATCGTTATTTTTATATAAAATAATACGCCATTCACTATGTAGAATCAATTCAATAATATTATATTTATTGATTTTTTAAAATTATTGTTGTACTAAAATTCCAGGCTTGTCAACTTTAAAGATCTTGAAAATTTATTTAATAGAAAAAAAGATTCATAAATTTCAGCTAAAAAATTAATCAAATTCTTGAGTAGAATTTGTTCAAATTATGAAGTATTGATTTTTACTGTCATGATAAAAAACTAATAAATTAATGAATTTCACAACGATCAAGACGTTATGAATCATAGGTTTTTTTAATTATTTTCAACTCATTATTTGATAATGAACTAAATCTCTTTATTTCAGCATGAAAAATACTTATGATTTGTTCATAGGTTCAATAAGTACTACTCTCGAAGGCTAAACGAGCCCGCGATAGCTCAGTTGGTAGAGCGGAAGACTGTAGATGTATAATAACTGTAATCTTTAGGTCACTGGTTCGACTCCGGTTCGCGGGACTCATTTTTTTTTCTTTTCTTTCAAATAAATTATTCTTCATTGATGAATAATAGTATTAAATTTTTTTTTTGTTCGTAAAAGAAAATAAATAGATACAACTAATTTTGATTGATTATCATTAAATTTTTATTTTAATGGAAATTATTCGAATTGAATCTAAAAAAATAATTCAATATTTCAGAATTGTTTTCCTAATATTGCATCAAGTCAACGAGTATAACGATGAGAAGACGAACAATATATATATATATATTTATTTTTTTCTCTATATTAACATATCTTGATTGATAGGTTTTTTTTTCATTGATTGTTAAAATTAAATGTTGTATTGAATTAATTTTAGAATTATTGATATCTAATATTACTATAATATTTGTTTGATTTATCAACTCGTTGATATTATTTTGTATTGTATCTAGAAAAACTAATATATGTCGAATATTTATTTTTATTGAAACACATACTTTTATTAAAAGAGATTTTTCGTTTTAATTTATTCTGTAGTATATCATAATTTAGACAATTTTATTTTTATTAGAATCATGTGATAATATGCAACCAGAAATATTGATGATTTTGATTGACTACATATAAAATGATTTCATGGAAGAATCACATCGACTGTATATGTATTATAATTTAAAGGAGCCATCTGACGAAATAATGGCAACAGGTGTAGTTAAATACATTTCGATTAGATACGATGCTGTTATTGCCTTATACATCTATAGAATGAAAAAAATTTGATCACATATGATATTCTATTATTTGAAGGAGTAAAATTATCTTCTAGGACATAATAACTTTTTTATTTAAATAGTTTATAATTTAAAATAGATTATTTTATACAATTCAATTAGAAAGTATATAAACAGCAGTTTCTATTGTAGATCTAATAGTTTATTCAAATAGTGTTGCAACCATCATACTCATTCAAGTATTAGGATTTACATAACTATTGATATATGGTATTATGATTTTATTCTTTATTTGTATTAGTATTGATGATCGTGTAGGTTTTGAATGAAATATTGCACATAATTTTGCCATTATAATCTATAGTTTTTAATTTATTGACAGAAATTAATAGAGAAAACTTAATTGAAATATCTAAGTCACTTAAATATTTAACCTTGGGTCGTTCATTCTTAAAAGTAGATATAACAATCCCGCGATAGCTCAGTTGGTAGAGCGGAAGACTGTAGATGTATAATAACTGTAATCTTTAGGTCACTGGTTCGACTCCGGTTCGCGGGAGTATCTTTTTGTTTGTTTATTAGATAATGATACATCAAGAGAGTAAAGAATATTACATTGACACGAATAGATACTCATGAAATTATTAATGAAACATAACGTAATAACAAAGAAAATTTAAATTGAACAAGAACATAAGATATATAACAAGTAGAAACATGAGAATTTATTTTCAGTGCATCTCACTCACGAAGTGGTCTAGAATTTCAACGTTTCTATAAAAGATTTTTGTAGTGTACATGACTTGGATTATTTATTTGAAATGTAATAAATCTTTCAATTTTATACTTAACAAAATTTCAAAATTTATCGTTTAAAAACTGAAGTAGTATTAATAGTTTGTACAGCATCAATCATTTTCTTGATGCCTAACATTTGGGTACCTAATTTATTAGTATAATTAACAGAATTATAACCTCAACAATCAAAAACAACCATTTGAATTTTGAGGATTTCATGTTGATTGAATGACTTGTGGAAATAATACAATTATATTATTTAATTCAGCAACTTTCAAACAACCTGCTTTTTTAACAAATACATTACTAATAAGTGATTTACCTAAGAAAAGAAAAACAATTAAATTATATAAAAGCAATAAAATGAAAAAGAAAACAAACTTTGTTTACATCCATGAAGAGCAACATGAATTGAATATTTTCTTTCATTATTACAACCTCATGGAAAATAAACATAACCTTGTGTATTAAAATTAAATCCAGCACTAGATGATAACATGCCAATGGTACCCGAAAGTGTAATACTTGAGAATGTAAATATACTTAAATTAAACGATGGTAAAAAATTCAATGGCTTATATAAAAACCATTGTTGCTTGCATCCAACTTGAACATAATGAAAAACTATCTGTAGCTCTTGAATCTGATCTAGTCACCACTGAAGGATTCATAAATGCTGCTTGTTTAGAAGTAATAAATTGTCCGGTAAGTGATATGGATATTTCACTTGATAGTTTAATAAGATCATCTTTATATAAATGATTTAATTTATCATAAGCGAAAGTAAAATTACTATTTCAAAAGAAATAAACAAAGTTTATTTAAATAATTCTCTTGTTTTTTCCTTTCTCTGTACATACCAATTATTAATAAAATTATAGCTGAATAAAGTGCTGCACACTTTTCATCAAAATTTTTCTTTTGGAAAACCATGATTAGCTGGTAAGTCCTAGTTATTTTTTATGTTAGCACTCAATTCTGAATAAATTGGTTCATTACAGTACCCACCATAAGTGGCCACGATTGAAAAAATGAACAAGACAAAGGAATTATTTGGTTATATTTTATTTATGAAATCTGCATTATATGTGCATCATTTTCATGTAAATTTTGTATTTTTTGTTGAACGTAAGTTCAATTTTGATTTCAATGCTGAAGAATGAAAGCGCGAAAGAATGGAAGAATCTAGAAGAAGTGAATGCGAACAATAACCGTCCTTTTCAAATAGAACAAAGAATATATATGTATATATGATGATAAGCGTATCACATATTATAAAATATGCAATAGAAAAGTTAATGCACAAAAGAATAAAAAAAGGATCAAGGTCAATATCAATGTTTATTGACCGAGAGAGAATAGAAATGAATGTAGAGTATATAATGAAAGGAAACGGATGAACAATTTTCAACGATCAAGAAGAACTGAAGAAACAGGCACATAACAGAAAGAGAAAAAAAATAAACATCCACATATATAGTTCATAAGGAAGAATAAATCCTTAATACTTCATAATTAATATAATCGCTTTTTATTTCAATTAATGCTACTCTATTTTCCATAGAATCGCCTAATTTTTAGCAAATTCATTAGCTAAGTTTCTCCATTCGTTTTTTTATTCTTTCAATAAAATTATTTATTGATATATACGGTTCTTTGTTTATTCTGAGTTCCATTAATGCTCAGACATTTTTACTTGGATCACAGTCTTCGAGTTTTATATTCTGCTGGAGTCTTTTTTAAAACATCGTCACTTGTTAGCAACGGTTTCGAAGTCGGTTTCATCGAATGTACACCAATCTCTTTAAATCTTCTTCTTAATGTGGTTTTACTAATTTTTATATCTTTCTATGATAATCTAAACGCAATTTGACCGACAGATTCGATTGAATGTTGAGCTATCATGAATTGAATCGTTGCGTATTTTTTTCCGATATAGACCGGATTTTATGCAACTTATACGTCGCCACCTATTTCATACCTTTTAAGCCTACATTTTACAATTACTCACTGATTCGTATAGATACCGTGAAATATCACTATTTGACATATGTGAGGAATAGCTTTGTCTTTATAGAAAAATAATTTCTCGTCTTTCCTTTAAAAAAAAGGTTCATTTTCTATTAAGTTATAAATTGATAATAGAATGAGTATAAATGTTCCTATTTATATCGGATGATAAGTGTGACTAGTCCATTCAAACAAACCAAAAAGATCAAAGAACGATCACTGTTAAACAACGAAAAGAGCTCGCGTCCACTTATGGCGGATACTGTAAATAAAAAAACAGCAGGGACAGATTATGGAATTCAATCTAACGTCAAAACAAGAGGATAATTCGAATAGAAATGATTAGATAAAAAGTTGTTTTCTTATTAAGATGATGAAATGGTCGACAATGCTAATAATACAACATATGATGATAGTAGCCAAGATGAAACAATCCGACTACAAGATCTTGTATGATTCTTTCAAGATCATATAGAAACATACTGTATAATTTTACATGATCACACAAGATCGTATGAAAATCGCATACGATCTTGTACAATTTCATATGACAATCAAAAAGCCACCACCCAGGTCAAAAAATCAGACATCAGATCGGGTAAGATCAGGTGAAATCGTACAAAAAATCGTGATCTCAGAAATCTTACATTAAATCGCACTGTAAGATTCGTGACAGATCTTGTTGCCCTACCAGATCTTCCTATAAGATTATAGAGAATCTAATGCGACGGTAGGATCTGACAAGAATCTTACAGTAAAAATTGATGTAAGATTTTTGAGACCACGATTTTTTGTACGATTTCATATGATCGTACAAGATTTAATGTCAGATTTTTTGACCTGGGTGGATATTTCTGATAATATCGTCCTGTACGATCTTTACGTCTGATAGTGCAAGATCTTAAATAATTCATGCATGATTTTCCAGAGCTTCATAGAGCATTGTATAGCTGATTTGACCCATTTCTGACTTCTATAATGCTTGAGGTTTTCAACATTGTATTTGATCTATAGTAACCCGTACATATATTTATTTATAAGAATTACAAAAAAAAAACAAAAAAGACATAAATATTCACTTGTAATGCATAAGTAAAACACAAAATTATAGAAAAAAAATTTTCTTTTGAGTTTAACCGACTGAATGATCCAAATAAAAAATAATAATTTCAATCAAAAAAAGATTTACTTATATTAAATACGTCATTGATATGAGCTGAAATAAAAAAATAAAAAAATAATTGCAATTATACAACTAGTTACTGCGATGTAATTCAATCGTGAAAACTGGCCTAAAATGAAGAAATAAGTATAATTTAAATAAAAAAGAAACCTATTTCTAAATTAAATTGTCACGTATTATTTTAATCGTAAATAAATAACTCTAATAGCCTTGACTTTACTTTAATGAAAACAAAATGAACTATGTTAAGAATAATTCACTTCATGATACTATAACTAAAACAATGCTAACAGATTAAATCATTTTGTTTTAAAATAAAACAAACACAATAGTTTTATTAGATTAAATTTATTTTAATTAAAATAAAAATAAAGTAATATAATTCCATTCCATTCATTTCATTTTATATTTGTTGTAAATATACGATCCTTTTAGACTAATTTTAATCAACTGAACTAAATTATAATATTTATAATAAATGGAATTAGTTTTGTTTCACATCATTTAAACTAGATTTTAAAAAAAGCTTATATCATTAATTTGAATTAAAATAAATCAAAAAAAAAAATTAAGAATAATAATCGACAAAATACAAAAAGAATTAATTAAGTTTGATAAGATTGTTTAATGTCTAAAACATAGAACTGAATTAATTTAGTATTATAAATGAATATGGAAGCATTTTTACCTCTATTCTGAAAAATAATACAATATACATTCTTCTTAAACCAATTAAAACTTAAAATCAATTTATAACAGTTCATCCTTCTTCATATAGTCTATTGTAATTATGATTGAATTATGAGTCCTCTACGTTGGAGACTTATAGATCGTAAATGCTGTACAAAAAAATCTTTTTTTTAATTCGAAAGAACGTGATGTTTAAATTAGACTGTTTTCAATCTATTGAATATTTATTTAAAATACATAAAACTATGATTATAGAGATTAATAGCATTAGAAAAACCTAAAAATATGATCTTACAAAACCTTATAAGATTCGGATCCTCAGATTTTGCAAGAATCTTATAGTAAGAATCGTGTAAGATTTACATTAGCATCTTACAGTAAGAAGCATACTAAATCTTAAAATAAGATATTTTACGGTTTCATAAGATCATACAGTATAAATTTTACAACATCCAATTATCGGTAAGAACTTGTACGATGTTCGTCAGATTTTTCCATCTGGGTCGATAAAAAGGTGATATTCTTCATCAGCTCGATGGGCTCTATCGGACATCCAAAAGCATAAAAATAAATCTTTCATAGAGCACGTCTAGCCTTTGAAAACATGATTTTTCAAAGTGTACTGAAAATTACGGATAGTTCTTAGTTCTAAGTGTTTTTCTCTTAAACGCCATCCTCAGAAACCTTTAAAAGGTCGTAGAGGTACAGAGCATAAAATTCTCTATCTATTGGTATTAAGGTTCTCCTTCCATTCAGAAAACTCGATTTTCATCAAAAAAATGATTTTTGAGATAAACATATGAGCACGTTGTCTGAGTTGCCTAGTGTACGAATTTATAAAAATAGTTTTAATTCTTGAAGGTTTTGAGTGGTTTTATGAATGATCTTTGAAACTATTTGGATAAATAATGATGCCTGGAGCAATCAGTAAATTTTTTTTCCCGAGTTAGATCTCAAACGTGAACAAATATTTATCAAAGGTAATCAAATATTGTGAATTTTAGAAACACTTTTTTGAATTCTACAATAACATGAGAGTATTGGTGTAGATCTTTTCTTCACCCACATTCACACCCTCAAAATAGTTGTTTTATATAAAATAAAATACCATATTTTTTATGAGTTACTAGTAAAAGCTAACCATCATCATCAATCGTTAAAAAAATTGTGAAGCCACAAGCGAATTGAAAAAAATTAATTTGTTATTCTTCTATCTTTATTATATTGTTGAATGGCATAACAGATATAAAGGCAATCGTAATATAATCTATTGCGATGTATCTCGTACAAGAAGACAATCTAATGTACATACACAAGTGCTTCGATTGACATGTAATATATTTATGCTTCAACTCCATTTTAAGTAATAGTAGAAAGACTATATAAAAGAAACTTCTCTTATGTTTTTCTTAAAATTGGGTGTTTTTCGGTGATGATCAAACTGCGGGCAAATTTTTTCTCAATACACTTCCTTCTAAAGAGCTGTGGTTTTTTTAATTGATAGATATTACGTAGTCCTCTAGATGAATAAAAGGAATTCTATACTTAATCTTCAATGCTAGATAGGTTCTGAGTTTTCCAGAAAACCATGCCTAGACATTCCAGATGTTTGAAATTTTAATGATCAGGAAAATGAAATAGAGTAAAATTTAGAAAAAAATCCTTTCACTCATCCAAAACAGTAAGGAGTTCTCTTTCAAATGAAAACAACCCAAGCTCTGCAGATTAAGATATTTTGACGAAAAATTTGTTCGCATAAAAGCCCTGTTTTGCAACTTGGTTTCTAGAAATCTCCTGAACGGTAAGATATAGAGACGTAAAATTTTTTTTATTAATGTATTTCCATGAGGTGAACGTCTATGGAAAGTTTCATCCATACATCATGTACTCCGTAGAAGTTAGATTTTTGAGGGGATCTCCTCAGTTAATTTACTTTTAGCATCAACGTTAGAAAAATCAATAAGTATCAATAGAGAATAGGAGATTGCAGTTGAATGGCTAAGTGGACATGAATCTTTTAAATTTGGCACCGATAAGATTAAATTTATTT